AAGGAGGGCTCCAGAGCAAACTAATTTAGGCAGTAGCCAAATCACCTGCTCACAACTTTAATGCCAGGAGCTCATGAAGTAGAATTTTTGCTCACAAGACTCCACAGCTTAGAGGGAACATTGGTCCTGACACCATACAGATTCAAACACAGCCGGCAAATTCCCCACAAGAAAAGCCCTGTGTTCAATGAACGACGGCGCTGCGTGGATCTGATACCACCGAACTGGGACTACTATCCCCAGGAAGCTATCTTCTTACTGAAGACTTTCTTGAAACACCCTGAGCACGTTGTATTGCTGTAATGATTCGATTGTTTTATCTTGTTTTTAATTGTTTTAACTATTGGCATATGTGCCCTATCTGCGGGCCGCCCTGAGCCCGCTTGCGGGGAGGGCGGGCTATACATTTAATAATAAATAAATAAATGAATGACCAAAGGTCCAGCTTGGTTGATGTCCGGTTCCCATGCCTAGCCCCGCCTAGCCCCACTAGAAGGGTATAAATCATTTCTCTGTTCTTGCCTCCCAGCAGTAGACTTTCTGCCTCTGAACAGCGGCATATGTAACAGTAAGAGCCCTCTCAACTAACAGAAGCCCCAAGAAGAGGCATACAAACAGCACAACTGCCTGATGTTGACGCCACATGTGCAGGCCCGTAGCTTTGGTTTGGCTTTTGGGGGCTACGCCCACTTTCTTAAAGGCACACCCCCACAAGAATTTCTCCTGTAAATGTTTTTTTCCAATCATTTGAACACATTTTTAAAGGGTTGTGCTCCTCTAAACGGAGTGGGGTGCTGCAGTCGACTAATTCCCACACTGAGCAAGGGGGTTGGAGTAGGTGACCTCTAGGATCCCTTCACTGTGTCAAGAAACTGGTCTCCTTTAAGAGAGTTTTTCTGCCTAAGTGTTTGCTTTCTTGCCTATAGACGTCATCACCCCCCACCTGCCAGCTTGTTATCAGAACTGCTGCTTAGGCTGGCAGAAGCGATTAACTTGCTGCAGTTGAGAACTGTCATCTAAAGTGGTTGACAGCTTGTGATGTAGAGATATAGCCTGGTAACAGCCTTCTATTGGCTAAACGGATTTTCTTTCTGCACTGAGAACTTCAGCCCCACCAGAAAAACATTTGCCCCCAAAGCCACAACATCCTGCCTACAGGCCTGCACATGTGCCACTTTTCATCAAAAGGGAACTTGGGGTTCAAATGTCTTCTGCCTTACCTGCTATCACCGTGTTCACACACTCATAGAGGAGCGACATGGCTGATGTGCTGGTGGGTGGGAAGAGAAAAAGACAACACCAGCATTTGAGACATAAAGATGTTCTCCTGAGTTCAGGGCAGCATCGTGACTGTCAATTCCTACCCACCCACCCCCAATTTTATATTTGTGGTAGGTTCTTTCCAGAGTGGATAAATATCTTGATTCTTATTTTTTAAGAATTCATTTTAGATCCCCCCCCTTTTTTATTTCAGTGGTTTTTTTAAAAAAAGGCTGGAAACCTACAGTAACAGTCTCTTAAAACGGAATCCAAGATCTTTTATGAAACCCACGATGGCCGAGCCTGTGCCGCCAGAGAGGTGGGATGGGATCAGCATATGGGGAAAAAAAGCCAAAGCAGAGAAATTACTCTGAACCATGTCTGGATCAAAACCTTGGCAACGCAAAGCACAGATCTGATTCTCAACAACTGCTCTCATGAGCCATGCTTGGCGTTACACCTGGACTGAGCAGCCGTTGTGAAAGACAACAGCAGCCAGAGGTCATTTCGGGGGGGATCGCAGTTCCCCCGGGTGAGGTACGGGGGGGAGGGCACATGACGAAGCCCCGCCCCCTGCTTCCAGCCGCCCCGCTTCTGGCCCTCATTCAGCCAGGAGGAGGCAGGAGAAGAGAGAGGGTAAGTTGCTTCCTCCTTGCCTCCTCCGCCGGTGCACTGCAGCAGAAAAAGCTGGCTGAGCCACAAACTCCCTGGTTCAAATCCTTCCCGTGACAAACTCACAATGCAGCCTCTGATGA